TCCTCAAAAGGAAACTTTTTAAACAGGTATTTTAGAGGCGAGCTCAATCAGGTGATCTGAAAGTGCAAGAAATTGTTTCTTTTCAGTTCTTTGGAAGAAAAACTGCAGAATTGGACAAAGTAGGATGGATTGAATTACATTTTAGAACACTGAAAATAAGTGTAAAAAACAAATCTTTCTACCTTTTGCAGAAAGTGATACTTATGCAATGGTAACCTTGAACTAGACAGCCACATCTGACAGACTACAAGTGATACAAAATTCAGTAGCCAATTCTCTGTATATCTTAGCACAAAATAGCTAATGTTGTTCATGAATGCATTTCTTTCCAGTTGCGTTTCATTTTCCTTTGGCAATTAAGTACTTTTCTACTCACCCTGTCTGTTACATATTTAACAAGAGTTGGCAAGAGCCAACAACTGCATTGTTTCGGAAGGACATAATAGTGTGTTATGCTTTCATCTCTTCTTTCATTCTGGTGCTCTGCATATCACAGCTTTTTCACACCAAGATGCAATAGATTCTCTCTCTCCTGTACCCTGGATGCTCTGTCTCTCATTCAGCACCTTTGCTCCTTGGATGCTCCTTCTCTGTCTGCTCCTCTTCTCCGTGGATGGTCCCTTGCACTCAGCTCTCATGCTCTATTTTTGTATTCTTTGTATACCTCCTGATTGAAACAGCATCACAACAGGGATTCCTCTGCATGCCACAGCAATACACACAAATATTCCTTTTCTCCATCAGTGAAAACTACAAAATAAATACTACTCTGCATCTGAACCGTTGCCATCTGGGCACTAACGTGTGGAGCATAACACTAAGGCTAAATGCAAAAATTGAAAGATCTGTGGTGTCTTTCAACTTTGAAAGCATTTAATACAGGGGAGAAAAGTGCTGCAGAATTCACTCTGGAAATGATGACACTCAGTTGTTTCCCAATATATGTGATCCTTCAGATTTAACTGCCTGAATTAAATTGACATTGCCCTCCTCTCACCTGTTTTATATCAGTGTAACCCAATTAACTTCAGTATAAATACTCCTGATTTACAACAGTGTATGGGCAAAGAAAACTGGGTGCGAAGTATTAAACATAAGGGCGACTTGACAGACTGTAAGACCGGTACTCTGCTGAACACAGCACTACATCTGTAGTTGTGCTGTTGTGTTATTATCACTGAAAAGACTTTCAACAAAAAAAACAAATTCAAATCATAATATCTTGGACAGATTATTTCTAGAAGAGATTGGGCCTGATTCTCCTGTCACTTACATAGCATTTTTGCCACTGTGTCTTTATTAATTTTGTGGAGTTACTCCTGATTTCCACCAGTGTAAGTGAAATCAGAATCAGGCACCATAGATCTGGCACTACCATGCTTGGATGAAATTAAGAAAGGGAAATTTTAGGTAAAAAAATCCATCAGTAAGAGCTTTTGGACTAATCTCCTATGGAAACCAGTTGAAGACCAATTGCTTAGGACATTAAAACTAGACTGGACAAAACCTACACTATCAGGAATGAATAAACCTGTAATGGCAGGAAGGTGAACTAGATAATTTAACAGGTCTTCCCCAACTCCAGGTTATATGATTCTGTGTTTATTCTTCAAACTAATGCAATGACTAACTAAAATTAAGCTGTAAAATGGTAACTGTGTCTTACAGCATCCCACTATAGAAGGTAACAGTCAAAGCTGTGAAAATACAAATGCTAAAGTTATCAGCAATAGTAATACTAGATCTAAAAATACTATACTGAGCTACCTCAGAATATTTTAAATATTGGGTAAAACTTGCTCTAGTTATACTACCTGTATTGCTATTATATTAAACAATTTAATTGTTTTATAATAATGCAAGATAGGCCACCTGGGATGCCTTCTATTAATTTCAGCATTACAGGATCAGATTCCCCTTGGGGAGGGAAAAATCAATATAAGAGAAAACTCTACACTGAAACTGCAAAACTGTTAACTATGTAACGCACTAAACTTTCCTTCTACCCAATCCAAGTCCTAATGAACAAAAAGAAGTACTGTACATCACAAGCAAAGCATCTCAGTGCCTCAATAATATAATATTAGATAGGTAGATAATTTCCAATGCTGGATAACAGAATACAAGAAGGCTTAGTGATTGCCACATTATTCAACAGATATTATCTGATTATAGATGAACATACTAGTTGTTAAAATTAGAAATTGATACCTTAATACGTTAGAGTAATTTATGTCTCTAAGAAACAAAATATTCAACTGCAGCTGGAAATTTTCTGATCCTTATATATATGGTTATGGGAGCTCACCATACACATGTTATATGGGAGAAAAAATATTTTACATATAACAACTTAACACTGGAAATGTTTGTGTCACTAATTTTACAGTCTTCCAAAGCAACAGAATTGTATATAGCAGGTTCTATCCAAATTCAAAATTAATGTTAACGGTCACAGTATTTTACCATTCTTCCTTAATTCTCAGATGTAGACATGTTTATTCAAGTAATCATCAACAAAGCATTTTTAAGAGACTGGGGTCTTCAAACTGCAACCATTTCAATGAATGCTAGAACTCAAGGCAAATCTGTCACTCGAGTTGTTTTTACAACAGAAAGCTCAAAACTTTTTACCCCATTCAATAAGGAAAAAACCTACATGTGAAAGGAGTTCACATCTATTCGGGACAGGAAAAAATATGTAGGGCAAGCACTATGTACATTTTGGGTGAAGTAGGAATGTCTTGGAAAAATATAATACACTATCAGCAATTAGTTACAATTATTAATCATAATTAGTACTTGTTTTTAAATAATTTATTTTAAAAATACCATAGGCTTACTATTTTGAACAGGCTTTTTGCAGGAAGGGAATTCAAGCTGAAACTACAAACATGACTAATAGGATAGCTGAGGGTATTTTTATCTTCCAGCCCAGTTATAAACATTTTATTTCGAATAGGAGTTCTTTAAACCTGGTTTAAGTTGCTTAAAATAAACAGACTAAAACTCCATGACAAGGAGGTACTGCAATTATGCTAAGCAATATGAAAATCTCTATGAACTATGATAACTGGAAGAAAGTTAAACATTTACCAACAAAAATAAATATTAATTTTAATCAAAATAACTAAATCATTGCTTATACCAAAAACAAGTTCAGTTTTTTTATTTAAAAACATTTTTATTACTAGTAAACACAGATGGTATACAATTTTAATTATGACTCTATATTTGTTTGCTATTTATACTATGTAATAGTTCAAAGACACTGAATCTTTCCCAATCTCCGTTCATGCTACTTGGGAAATGCCCTATTTTTATGGCTAGTAAAACAGCTGCAGCTTAGCACATCTTAAAGGTAACATGGGTTGATTTTTCCATATCCCTTCCTGTACTAGAAAAGTATGAAAAGGAAGATAAGCAACAGCCCATTTTAAATGATCTATGCTGAGTGGCTTGCACAGGTTAATAACTCCTCATTCTCCTCTCAGCCAAACTAGATTCCCAGCAGCAGCTCTTGGAGCGCTGGGCATTTCAAATAGGGGCTGTGCAGTAAGTAAATGAGATTCCCCCAGTGGCGCCAATTTGGGGTGAGTGGGGGGAAGGAAAAGGTTCACACACACACCCAAAAGGTTTTTGCACTTGCTTAAAGTTCCATAGGCCACTGAGCTAGGGGGGTCTACTCAAGGGTCCTCTTCTAAAGGTAGGGATGCTTCTAAATCAGAACAACTGGTGCTGGAGTGGTCCAGACAGAGCAGGGCACCAGCTGCGTGGTTGCCACACCAGTGAAATTTCACCCGGCTGGGCCACATTCCAGTGAGTGGCATTGCGATCTGGTGCAGGCGGTTGCAGTGCCACTGAAATTTGGCCTGGCTGCCCCTCCCTCCAGACAGTGGAGCAGCCAGGCCAAAAGTGTTGCGACCTGGTGCAAGAGAAGCCTCTTCGGTAGGGCAGACTCCACTCAAAGCCACACCGGCTCGTGCACTGTGTGGGGAAGAGAGACGGGAGACTCCCGGGGTGAGGAAGACCCAGGTCCCTGCGAGAGGAGAGGGGGGACTGGAATTTCCCCCCTGCCAAGAAGTATCTGTATTGGGCCACTGCCCAAGAGCAGCATCCGGGGGTGCTCAAAAGGTCTGACAAGAAGTGGGCTAGACACGGTCTACAGCGGAAATACAGGCGAGGGGAGAGAGTGAGCGACTGCCGGGCCCCACCCCATCCCGCAGACCCCTGCCCAGAGGGCAGGAGGGCTCCGCAAGTGGCTCCAGGAGCGGCAGAAAGCAGGGCGGCGCGTGCACAAAGGGGGCTGGGGACAAGGCACCTGAGCCCGCCCGGCTCGCGGCTGCGGGAAACCCAGCAGGGCTGCACAAGAGCGGGCGCTGCAGCCCGCGAGCATCGGCGCTCACCCCGCCTTCCCCGCGCCCGGCTGGCGTAGAGGGACCCGGGGGTCCGGGCAGTGAGGCCAGGGCAGAGCCCGGGAGGGTGGGGGTGTCGGGGAGAATGGCGGGGGGGGGAGGTTAGGTTCCCGCGTAGGGGCACTGGGGGGATACAGGTCGGGGCAGCGAGGAGGGGATGAGGCAGGGCAGAGGGGTCCAGGCACAGTGGGGTATATGGGTAGGACTGCGGAGGCACATCGAGGAGGATGCGGGGAGGCTATAGGGGGCCGGCCAGAGGAGGGGGCTATGGGGATAGATTCTGCGGGGGGGGGCGGGATATGAGCCAGAGGAGGGCTATAGGGGCAGGATGCTGATGCAGGGAGGATTATAGGGGTCCGGGCCAGGGCTGGGGGAAGGGAAACGGGTCGATTCTGGCTGGGGCTGTAGGGAATCCCGGCGGGGAAGCGTTCGGGGCTGGGGGGGGGGAGTGTGGGGCCCCCAGCTCCAGCCTGACCTCCCTCACCAAGGGGCAGGCAGGAGATCTGCTGGGGGGAGCCCCTCGCCCCCGGGCAGCCGCCAGCCCCGGGGAGCGACACGTCGCCTGCCCCCGCCCGGGCTACGTACTGTGGGAGCCGTCAGGCGGCTGATGCTCTCCCCGAGCGAGTCCAGGTTGACCCGTCTCCTGCGCGGAGCCCTCCTGGCGGCGGCGGCGGCGGCGAGCGGGTCCTGCGGCCCGGGCGGGCTCCGGCTGCCGTTCCAGCAGAGCCTGGACAGGGGACATTCGCCCTCGTCCTCCGGGCTGGTCTCCAGGTAGTCCGAGCCCAGCGAGCTGAAGGACTCCGAGGAGATCTTCCGGCGGGCCATGCTGCTGCGGGCGCCGGGCGAGCATCAGATGTGCAGGGGCAGCGCGGCGGGGCTGCGGCGGGGAGCCGGGGGGCGGCTCATGGCTGGAAGTTCATGCCCCGGCTCGGGTGCCCGCGGCCGCAGGGAGCGGGTCCGTGCTGCGGCCCCGGCCCCGGCTCCGCGCCTCCCGCGCCCTGGCCAGGGGGTGCCGCCGGCTCCGCCGGGCTGGGCGGTTTTAAAGCAGATGCCGCCGCAGCCGCCGCCGCCTCCTCGGCTCCTGCCTCCCTCCCGCGCCCCCGCCCGCCGGAACCACGTGGGGTTGGGAGGCTTCGCCTCGCCAGTCGCCGCAGCTCGGGAGCCGCCAGGGCACTTTCCCGGGACTTCCCCCGGGCACCCCCCGGAGAGAACCGGCGCCCGCCCCCCTGGGCGTGCGATGGCCTGGGCTGTCAGTCCCGTCCCCCACCCCGGCGCGTCCGATGGCCCCCGGGCTGTCAGTCCCCTCCCGCCCCCGCATGCGATGGCCGCCGGGCTGTCAGCCCTCGCGCTCCTGGGCAGGGGGAGCCGGGGCTGGGACTTGCCCCTTCCCCCGTGGCCTGCCTGCGGTGCCCAGCCGGGAGGAACTCCCCCTGCTCTGCCAGTGGCCCCCAGCGCCCATTGCACGGCCCCCAGCGCATGGCTCGGACTCCCCTCCCTGGGCGGACAATCCCCGGGTCTCCCAACTCCCCCCTCCAGACGGTGCCCTGGGCTGCATCCCTCCCATACACACACATCCCACGGGCTGGGCCCGGTTCTGAATCAGGACGGGATGAGGCGCCCTGCATCTGGATGGGCTTCCTCAGGTGTCTCGTCTGTCCCCCAAAGTTTCAGACTCCTCCTCTCCTCTTGCCCTTGATCAGGAAGCTAAGCCAGGCCAGGGCTCGCTTCTGCCCAGAGTAGAACGAATTGCCCCCTGGCTGGCAGGAGCACAAACCAGCGGCTAAGGAGACGTGATGCTGGATCCCACTTTCGGACCTATGATCTTTAATCCTTAACTCTGTCCTATGAACAAATGCACCAAACTGAGAAAGAGCTCGGGAATACAGAGCTGGAGCAATTGTTTCACCACTGAGCCCCTGGGTATCCCACAAGGGCAAAACTTCTACAGTGCTGTTACTGCATTGATTGCAATGATTTTATCCCTGGTTTATATTGAGAATGACAGCGAAGAATCAGGCCCCATGTGCGTTGTGCTTGGTGTGAGCAGAGCAATTCTAATGAATCACAGCATCTCTTCCTCTACTTGTTTGGGCACCTGCCTTCCTGGGCGGCATTTCATCGTTTTGATTTAAAGTGGTTAAATACTACTAACACATAGTGTACAGCTATGCCACAGATTTATCATAAAGATATACTGAAAGCAAGTGCCTTCTGCAGCCATGGCAGGAAATAGTTTACATGCTGTAATAAACAAATTTAGTACATTTCAGAGAAGAGACTTACTAGAGGCTGCAAAAATTAGTTTAGTTTAGATCACACATCCAGCTATTGGGCATGTCAGTTTCTCCTGTCTTCTTATTTTGGGTTTCTTGGAAACTCTAGTTACAGGTGTTTATTTACTTATTTTTCAAATGCTCCCCCCCCCCCCCCCCGTCAGTACTGGACAGCTCCATTTCTTGTAAGTAAGATGTTTTCAGCTCTGCAGCTATAATTACTGCTAAAGAAGCGGAATTCTGTTGTTACTTATCTTGCTAGTTGTTTGCTCCCAAAATAAAAACTTTTTGAATGTCATTCAGAAAGCTAAGAATTATGTAAAGACTCTTAAAAAAAATGTACTTTGTCATCAACTCTATTCAGTACAACAGTTCATTATGCCACTTTTGTACTAGCATCACATCCACTAGCATCAATTATTTATCCAAGAAATCCCATGCAGAAATAAAATGCAGGCCACATAACACCATTCAAATGAACCCTTTTTTTAAAAAGTGCTAAACAGAGCTTTGAGGACACATGACACCTTTGAAGACAGTGAAAGGGAAGCTATCATCATTCCTCCCGCGCCCTAAGCCATGCATTCCCTTTAAAGAAAAGTTAAGCAATTCATGGCAATAGGGCTAACAATTTTGCAAATTTTGCCCAGGCAAAAAGGCTCTTTACAAATATGATGTTAATTTTATTATTTCATGCTACCAATGAATAAGGTAGATTCTTCCGTGTTTGGTTTATCTTTAATGTAATCAAAAATGTTTAGGATGTGTGGTTTTCAGAACTGTATTTTGCGGGCAGGTTTCCTACCTTTCTATTTGGGTAGTGATTAGATATTACTCTCTATATATCACATTCTCATCCTACCAAGTAACATTAAACGTCTGGATAGAGAAGTCCTGATCCAAAGCCCATTGAACAGATTGGAAGAACAGGGCCATAGACAGCACACATCATAGCATAATGAGCCCAGGTGTCTGATTGGGACAGTGGGGAGAGAAGAAGGATGGGGAAAGGATTACAAAAAACCTGCTTTTAATCAGAATCTTTAAAGATGGTGAAATAGAAAGCACCAGCCAGGGCATTCCTTTCAGTTTCATCACCAGGGTTTCCCCTGGCTTGACAAGTTTTCATTACAAAGGGTCTAGAAGAGTGGGTATCTGGTGGGAGGAGAGGATATTTTCCCCCAGTGAAACTAGGGAATGGATCCCAGCCAGGCTTCACATCTTGCAGTTAGTGTGCGTTTCTGCCAGAGGCTCAAACTCAGATTAACCAGTGTGCACTCAGGCACTTGCACAGGGCCCCATCTCAGAGAGGCCCCCCAACCACCAAGAAAAAAAAACAGTTGCAATGCCGTGAGCCCGTGTACCAGGTCACAGTACTACCCATTCACATTTGGACTGAGGTTTGGTCCAATTACCTGCCTTGTGGGCAGGTGTCATGTGTGTGCATATGATGCTAGCAGTTCATGGTCCTCAGAGAGGTACACAGATGAGACTTTCAGGGACACAATAGAATGGTCCCACCCCAATTTTAGCAGCCCCTGTGCTGTTGAGGAGGATGAAAGTCTCAGGGAAGGAGGACATCAAGCTGGAGCAAAAGGAAACAATCCCATAGTTGGGAACCTCCTTCCAGGTCATGTCATGGCATCCTCTTGCATTGAGGGTACCCCTTCTGGCACAGGAACCCCAGTTACTAGGAAGAGCCAGGAAATAATAATGGGGGGTTCAGTTATTAGAAATCTAGATAGTTGGGTTTGTGATGCTCAGGAGAACCACATGGTAAATTGTCTGCCAGATGTGAAGGTTGCAGATCTCATGAGTCATCTAGACAGACTTATGTGTAGTACTGGAGAAGATTCAATGGTGTGGTACATGTAGGTACCAATGACATAAGGAAAGGCAAGGGAGAAGTCCTGGAGGCCAAATTTAGGCTGCTAGGCGAGAAAATGAAGTCCAGAACCTCCATGCTAGCTTTCTCTGAAATGCTTCCATTTCCATCTGCAGGACCAGAAAGACAAGGCAGAACTGCAGGGTCTCAATACATGGACAAGATGATAGTGCAGGAAAGAGGGTTTTAAGTTTATTAGGAACTGGAGAATCTTTTGGGAAAGGAGGAACGGGGGGCTTCTGGAGAGGTCTGGGGGGCTGCTGCAGGGGACACTGCTCAGGGGTGCCCCTGGGAGGCCACTGCTCTGGAGGGGGGCCTGGGACCAGTGGCACCAGCTGCCAGGGGCTGCTGAGCAGTGGCTGCTCGCACCACCCCTAGGACCACTGCTCAGGCGGTCCCCAGAACCACTGCAGGAGGTCTATAAAATCACAATAGTATGCAGAAAGTGAATAATGAGGTGTTATTTACCCTTTCACATAACACAAGAACTAAGTGGCACCTGATAAATTAATAGGGAGCAGGTTTAGAACAAACAAAAGAAAGTACTTCTTCACAAATACAAAGTCAACCTGTGGAACTCGTTGCCATAGGGTGTTGTGAAGGCCAAAAGTATCACTGGGTTCAAAAAAGAATTCAATGAGTATATGGTGGATAGGTCCATCAATGGCTATTAGCCAAGATGATCAGGGATGCAACTCTATGCTCTGGGTGTCCCTAAACCTCCAACTTCAGTAGCTGGGAGTAGATGACTGGGGATGAATCACTTGAAATTGCCCTGTTCTGTTCATTCCCGCTAAAGCATCTGGCACTGGCCAGTGTCAGAGAGAGGATACTGGGCTAGATGGACCACTGGTCTGACCCAATATGGACGTTTTTATGTTCTTATGTCTGGCTGCCCTCTGTCATGAATGTAGCCAGGCCAAACTTGAGCATCATGGGGCTGTGTGTGAGGGGCAGGTGATGGGAGCAAGCCGAGCTGGATAGCTGGGATTGGAAGGAGCCACCCTAGCCCAGGATGGGTGCTGAGCTGGGGGAGGGGGAGGGACAGAGTACAGGTGAATGACCAGGAAGGTCCCAAGGTGGTGGGTGAGAGGCTGGGGCTGAGTTGTTTTTGGGTGCTGGGGTGAGTGGGGAGTGTTGGGAGGCCAGGAGGTTGGGGGTTATGGCTGGTGGGGCTGAGGTGTTGCGGGCTGCATGTCAGGGTTGCAGGGATGTGCAGGGGCTGTCAGGAGAAGTGGAGGCTTGAGGACAGTTGTTGGAGTATTTGTGGGATCTGTGTAGGGTGTGGTTGGTATGTATGAGACAGGCGCTTTGCTGAGCAGCTCCTGGGCAGAGCTCTAATTTATGGAAGGTATGTGGGGGGGGGAGGAGGATTTCCATGGTGCACAGGACCCCCAAATTCTTTAATTTGGGTCTGCTGAAGCTTGAAATGATAAAAGGCATTGGGAATAAGCAAACGGCCTGCATTGATTTCTTCTCTTTTAGTAAACATGATGCTTAGGATAGGAACAGGCTTTCTTTGCACAATCTTGTTTATTCCTTCAGCTACTGTAGAACAGGAGCTGCAGTTGCTTTGATAACAGGACTGAAAATTCTGTAGTTTAACACCTGAGCTCCTTTGAGCCTTCATGTCCTTGCCTTGCAGTACAGACTGTGGTTCTAACTCCCCAGTGAATCACAACAGCTATTCCTTTGTATCCTAAAACCAAAGAACATCCAGAAGATAGCAGCTATTGCTTGTCATTCTTCCACAGAAGAGCCAGTGCGAAGCCAGTATACCAACACAAATAGAGACTTTAGGGCCTAATCCTATAAGATTTTGAC